GTCTTATCCTATAAACTCTTGTGGCTTACTACTTCTACCACAGTAAAAAAGAGCACCTACTGAAAATGTGAAAGAAATGTGTTCAAGGCCCTACTTGGCCCATCTATCACCTGAAGTGCAAGTTGGAAAAAGACAGTATGAAGTTGCAAGCCTCTGGGAGCCTCAGCATCAGCATTTAACATTGGCAGACAAAATTCATAGCTGCATGAAACATTGCACACCAGCATCAAGCCACAGCACTCTTGAGACAAACTTGCAGTGACCAAAATTATCCAGAAGAAAGACACTCAAAACACAGGCAGGTGGCAAACCAGAATTGTCTAGAAAATACACTGCACAGGTCATCCAGTTGTAGGCAAGCTAGAAAAATGTCAATGGAAGGACACATAAAGATCCTGTCATGGATGATCCCATCACCTGAGCAGAAAATTGTATCTGTATATGTATGGAGGTTTGAGATGAAAACACTGACCAATAAGTTATTGGAATGGTTATACTCAAGCATCAAGACTTGCTAGATCCCGTACAAGTAGATATTTTGGAGGCTGTAGATGCATAATTCAGAATATATTAGCTTCATCTTGAATCTAGTTAACACCATAAAAGATGCTCTGTATCCAAAAACAACGACAAAAACAAAAACAATGAGAAGTGCTACACTACCTGGGAACAGACCAAGGTTTCTGTCAAGTGCAGTGCAGACTACATATCCAGAACACATGTGCATGACCACCATATAAGTGCTCTTCCTACCCAAAAAGTCAGATTTATCCACAATATATCATGTTTTTAATTTTTAATTTTTTTATAAATTTGGTCCAAATCCTTTAAATGGATGGATTTCTGGGATCAGCGCTCATGCTAAGCAGTGCTTGTGGTGTGAGCCCTGACCCCCACCATCCGATCGCGCAGTTCCAGGCAACGGCAATATTTAGTGGCGAAAGCTTTACGTGCCGCGATGCTCGGCACGGTCCGTCCTGCCCTCTGACGTCAACTGACCTTTAGCGCGACCGCTGCCACCGGCCGCAGGCCATACCTGCCAAGGGCAAATAGCGAGCGCCCTAAAGCGACTCGAACCCATCCCGCAACGGATGGGTGGGTCGGAATGCGGGCACTCTAACCAACTGAGCCACCGGGATGGACAAATTGAGCAATCACCAAGAAATTATCAGCTACTCTTTTATATTGACTCAACGAGGCAACTGTGGACCTAAGAGTGATTGGAAATGTGCTAGATTTTTTTAATTGCGCAACCACCAAGAAATAATTAGCCACTCTTTTATATTGCCTTAACAAGGCAACTGCGGACCTTAATGTGATTGGAAATATGTTAGATTTTATGTTAGATGCATAGTTGCTAGACATTTGGGAGATAAGGCAACCTGCCTGCTTGTTGGATGCCTCTGATGCATAAAATGACCACAAGGGTTTACAGAACTTTGCTCCCATTCACAGTGCTCCAAACACAAGAAAAAAACAAATAAGAAGATAGCTGCAGATTTTTTAATATTTGCACACTATGGACAACCGGACAACAGAATTTCACACTGAATAGATAGGCAGTGAAAACAGCTAGCACTTATGTTAGTCCACAACCTCCGCTCAGCCATGCCTCCCAACCAGTGCCTTGAGGGTGGATAAGTGAGGTGCAGTAACTTCTTGGAAGCCAGAGCACTGAAATACTGGAATCACTGCTGGCCTACTGGCTGGTCCTACACCAACACAGGCATGTAAACCCACTTAGCACATTGTTCTCCTGGTTGTATGCTTGATAGGGCACTCTGCCACTCACTTTAAGTGTGCCTCTATGAATCATTTTCAGTCCATTCAACAGCATTTGATCATCTGCCTGGTGTCACAATTATTTGTACTGCTTCTGGCAGGGATCATGAAACACTTAACCTGGATTCCCACCTTGAACCTGCACAATTTAGCACACTTGTCACAGATACATGCTGTGGTCCTGACATAACCAGAGATGGTGCAGCAGGGGGGGGGGGAAGAGTATGTTTTCCACCACCCAATCTTTGAAAGCCCCTTTTTTCCCAACTACAGGGTTCATAACTTCCTCTAGACTGCCAAAATTCAGATCAAGGAAGCCTCCTATAACTGAGCTACAGAGCAATAAAGTAGGCTTACAACATCATTTTCTACCTCAAGAAGCTTGTTTTCTGGTTCATACTGCCACTTTTGTGAATACAGTATCACATGCTCTAGATCAGAAGGCACAATGCTGTGTTAAGGAGGCCCCTAACCTGGCTCAGGCTGCTCTTATAAACTAGTAAGCCCATTCTGAATTGGAGGACACCCTCTTTATTCCGGAGCCCCATTTCTGGAACTGGAGGCCTCTACATGCATCAGAATATGACTGTTCTAAGGCAGAATGCCCTGTTTTGTAATAGATGGCCTTTAGCTAGATTTAGAACCCTGTGCACTGGAAGCCAATTCTTCCCATGACTTATTCTACAGCAGCCACATACACATATGTGATCCATGGAGCCACGACCATGGAGGTGAAAACATGTAATAGGTTGTCTGAACTGATTCAGGTCAGGCTGAGTTTTTGGTAGTTTTACCATGAAACAATGCATTGCCACTACCATATCTTCAATGCATTGGGTGGCAAACCCCACACCCGGGCTCTCTCTGGTATTGTGTGATCCCATAGAATGAGTAAGAAAGAGAAGCTCCCAAATTAATGCTATAGGCATCTTCATGAACAGGATCATGTATTTAATGCACTCAGTTGATGTCTGTTTACTGGCCAACATTTTATTTTGTGGCTATTTTAAGAGCATCTATCCAAAGTACTGACAATCTGTAGAAATGATAGTTAAAACTAGGACACCCCTTTCCCATCTCATCTTATTGATATCTTTATCATCAATTGAAGCATTTTCTGATCCTCAAACTGACTGGCAGGACCTCTTTTAGGATAGCATAATGCTAAGATATACAAATCATCTTCCAGGGTTCCAAATTAAGTGTACCACATAAATAAACTTTTCATTCAAAAATTGTTGTATGCCCTTAAACCAGGCAGTTAATTTTATATTTCAACTAAAGTAACTTATGTAATTGATATGGTTTAATCATTTTCACACTTAGCACATATCATCACAGGTACTAAGACATGTTCTATTTGCCCATGGTACCCCCAAGAATTGTGGGTGGTTCTATTCAGACCATATTGGTACCCTCAATCCAGTCTGCAAAAAAACTCCATACACTATTTTAGATGCTTATGTGACATCAGTATGCTAAGCCTCTTGCTTGTGTGCATCAAACTATGGCCAGACTAAATTGCATTGAATTTTCATTTCATGTAGGCATGAAAAATGCTTAAGGAGTATTTTGATTAGAATTACCTTTCCAACACCATGGCTTCAAGCATCAATGGCTGTATGCTGAAAGTTGCATTAACTGTACCACACTTTGATTACATTTTGGGCATAAATGCACTGAAATTTATGGAGCAATGTCTCTGCTACAATGAACATGTTTAGCACATCATGAACTTTTAGCAGCCAGGCCCAAAAGCACTGAGCATGTCATTTCTGATACACAGTGCATTAGGTTAAGGAAAACAACATCGGTAAAAACACCATAGCTACATTCTGGAATAAATAGATGCAACTAACACAGATAACATCACAACTATTAGCTTCTATCAAATTTCGACAACCATCTCTGTGTCCCTGCACCCCGCACAATAAACCTAAGAAAAGACTAACCTGCAAATGTTCCTGGAATTTGATAGGAAGAATTTGGGCCATGGTGAGGCGCTTGGTAGGGTCTTGGTGATCTTAACCCCGCTTGCAGCCCTTGAAGTCGTAACACTGGTCACTGCCTCTTCACCAAATTAATTACTTATGAAAAACGTCACACACCACTCCCACAATCCGCCAGCCGCCGGCTGCCGCTATTCCCTGTCATCAGCACAACTGCATGGAATTACGAAATTGTCCAATTCTTCGTAACAAAGTCACATGAGAAAACAAATTTCGAGGCTCAATTTTATATCTCACTGCATTATTCTGTCTTTAAAAGCTGTAAATAGAGGCAAAAAGTCTATTGGAAATATACTACATTCTTTCGTACTGATAACAAATTACCAGCGCAAGATTATTCGGTTGCCAACGTTTACGCCCCCAGAATTCATCATAATGGCGTCCGAATTTGCAATTAGATATCACACCTACACCGAAGAGGTGCCAAGCTCAAAAGATATCCTTTCTCCACATATTTATTTTGATACAAATTCAAGCTTAATGTATATATCTCAACTTTGTTAGGTGAAGACAAAAATTGCCTTTATAGACAATGCAGCTAAATCAAAATGCACAAATACACTGCAAGACTCAGGAAATACATTACCAAAATTTCTAGAGCTGAAAACGACTTTGGCCGACAAATAAAGGAATAGATTCTAAGATTGAGATCAACTCCAAGCTTCTTTTGTCATATACAGACCCATTCTGAACGTGTACAAACAATACAACTAACCCTACGCACCCGAGATACTTCTGAAAAATCAGGGTGTCGCAGCATGGGTTGATTTGCTGAGATTTTTCTTCCAATTTTTTTAAGGATGATGTGGGTGAAAAATTGGGTACGCTTTCCCCGCTACCTGCATCTTGAGGCTCCGGCCTTAATAACTATGTTGATTAACAGTACGCAAGATGTTTCGTGGCTTTTGATAGTTGCATGTTTTCATGTGGTGCTCCCTGCCATTAAAACAAGTAGAATTGAGTGAAACTTTTTCGAAGTCTTAAATTGTATTCCATTCTTTCCTTAAGCTTATATCAACGAAGCTGAGCTAAATGTTTGAAGAGATTTCTCTCGAAGTGAGCTGTTTCATAATTTGCTCGCGCTGTTTACTCATGGCTCCCCCAAAGGCGCATTGAACTTGGCGCATTTGTTATCTGGCGCATCCATTACTCGGCAACGAGCGATGGTTGGGAATCGGCTTGGATGATGAGCGCGGGTAGGTGGTGGGTAGAAGCGTGTGTAAGTTGTAATGGCCGAAATTGTCCGCGATATTGTGTAATAAGGGGCAGAGTTACGCAATCTGAGGATGAAAATGTGTGCCTGGTCTGGGTGGTGATGAGATCTAAGTCGTTACGCAATGTTTTAAACGAAAGATGGGCTACTGCGTGATTGATCAATCATCGAGATGCAACGGCCCAGCGCAGCGTTTTTTAGTTCTTGGTAAGAGGGACATTTGAGTAAGCACGATGGATGATTTCATTGTGTCTTGTGCTTACCCACCTCATCAAGTATCAGCTGAGTTTTTTGTGTATGTGATTATGCATGCCATGGTGGTGTGACCTGAGGTCTTTCATTTTGTATGTGTCAGGCTGCACCTTGATTCTCATGTTTGTTCCCCTGTCAGCAATGTTAGCATTACAGCTTTAAGTGGTTGTTGATCTGCAGGCATAAGAGGATGGTCTTATTCTCTCAATTCATAGGCTGAAGCAAGCTTGGAAAAAAATCCATCCACTGGATCGGATGTCCACATAACATTAGTGTGCTAAACCTGGTGCACTTGTCTGGCAGCCTGAATTCAGGGGATTTTTTTCAAGCTTGTGGTTTCTTTTAAAAGCTTTTAGGAGTTTTTCATTTGTGGGAAGCAGCTTTGGTATGGTGCAATTCCTCCAAACATTGGCCTCTAAGCTCTAATATTGGTGGCAACTATGTCCAAAATTATGAGTGCTCATCCTTTAAGCATGCATTCATATGATATCAGTACCAAGCATCATCATTAGCCAAGATTCTGGGCATGTCCAGTAAGATGTCTGTTTAGCAGTCTGGTTAAATCTTGTGATGCATTCATTTAGAAACTTAGGTAGGACAGATAGGCCTTATTTCTGAATATCTTTATGCTGAACTTTGTGTTCATTTAGGCTCTGAAGAAATGAAAGGCTGAAGCACTTGAAAGCATGCTAAATTATAAACCAAAAGGCTATGATCAGTTGCAGGATGAATAATTTTCAGCCAGGTTGTGGATGCACTGCTTCTAGTCAAGCATAGTTACTAATTGGTGATGATGATAAGATGAAATTCAGATTTAGTGTAATGGTTAATTGCTATGTAAATTTCCAACCATGATGTTAGGCATAAATGCATCCTAGGTACCAGCTTTCAATACTTGGCAACTTGTTATAAGATAGCATGATAGATAGATGTAATCTTGATTTTTCTTAAAGCAGCAGTTTTTTGACAAGGCTGTTATGATTAAATATGCCTGGCTTTTCATTCTTTGCATTCTGACAGGTTAGGGCATAATCTTGCTAGTATAGAGTTGCTGTCTTGAGCTGTCATTGACTAATGATATTCCAGCCATCTTGGCTTATTTGCTTCTGTCATGCATACTATCCTTAGCCATGTTTGAGAGTATCTATTATAGTATGTGGTTCAGTATGAGAGTATCTATTATAGTATTATCTATTATAGTATGTGGCACCACATACATATATAGTATAGTATGTGGTGCACTCCTATGAAGCTTGTTTATGTTGAATATGGCAATCTAAAAAAATATATCATTCATATGGTTGTGTTTTAGTTGAGGCACCAGTTAATTGTATATCACATGGCAAAATGTTTAAACCAGGTCTAAGTATGACATGCATCCAGATTGTAAAAGGTGCTTAATTGTAAAACTACATAGAAAAATATCTTATTTCTTGCAATTGCTTATATTGATGGTGTGCATTGTTTTGAAATATGTTGTACTGGAATATGCTGGGCCTAATATCATAATTATTATCCTACAACTTGGCTATGCAGTCAGTGCCTAGAGACTGCAGCAGATTTGTTTTGCTTGTACATTCACCTGCCACTGTTGTATTTCAGGTGCTTTCTAAAGACAACTTTGTTATGAATGGATTAAGCGACCATCAGCGGATTAATGCATCTCATCATCAGCAAATCCACAGTGCAAAAGAAAAGCAGGCACCAAAGTGTAAGGCATTCAAGCTTCTTTCTGACCCATGCATCATCCAAGGAGCAGGGAAGGTGTACAGGTAAGAACATTTTCCTTTGCGTTTCTTGAGCACTGCATTTATTTCTCTTTTTGCAGATCATGACCTGCTAATGAAGTTCTTTGTTTCAATGAATGCTTTCAGTTACAAGCAATGACATATTTCAGCAGTTCCTTCTAATTGTAGGATAATATGGTGTATTGCAGTCAGGGATCAGGAGATGTTATGGAGTGAAGGACAAGTGTTTCCACATACATATATAAATGCACATGCTTACATTTGTTTGAGGCAGTGTGCAAACCTGTTGGAACTGCTCAAATAGAACATTCCACTTTGTGACATATTGGGGCAAGCATTAAATATGATGGAATGGCTTATTTTGACTTATTCTTTTTTTTCTTATTATTGTTGCTATCATTATCATGGTTATAAAAGAGCTTGTTAATGGATGTGTGGAAAAAAACAGGCATGAAGAACATTATGTGACTGTATTTTGACTCTTGTGGTGTCCTTGATAATTTTTTTTTTTTGCTGCTATCTCATGTGTTTTTCTTTCAGTTTCATTCCTGGTAATGGTGGTTTTTCTTAAGTTATTTGGTTTCTGGACTCAAGTCTTCCATAGCTACTAGAACCGCACAAATACCTGTATTATGTAGTACAAATGTGGTTCATGATCAAGACATGGTTTGAATGTGCTGAGTTTATTCAGAGCCAACTGCTGTCTGTTGATGGGACAGTTAGTGTAGATGCGCTTAAGCATGAATAGGTTGATGGTCATATTTGTCTTGACCTTGAGCACAATGTGACCACCAAGGAGGGCAAATCATGTGATGTATCTATGATATTATAATCACTGGTTGATTTCAAAGTAGGTGATGTAAAATATTCTGCATAGATTTGTGTGTTTCTAGCTCAGAAACATTATTATTTGAAGGCTTACATAGGGCATAGTTGTAAACTGCAAAGAATGGCCTTGAAAATTGTATTTCATTGTAAGACCTGGTGCAGATGTGGAACAGCCTGTTTAAAATACCTTTTAGTTAAAACATGTACTATAATACACTAGCATTGCCATAGAGATAGGCTGTGCATTTGTTAAAGCTATAGCTAGTTTATTAGCCAATTCAACACTGCAAGCATGTTTACACAGCAGCCCATCATAGAATAGGCTATTGCGGAGCCACAGGGGTTTTGGATTTACACCAGCCTTTAAAGTACTCAGCTGAGGTATGATTACTTGAAATGAGGGAGCCACTCAGCGATGGACAGGAGACCGCCGCGCCTAGTGAGGCGGCGCGCGGGCCAAGCCGCCGGTCTTATCCCAACAGCAAGAAATGCTGCAGAGCATTTTCTTAACTGAGAAGGAATGTTTATTTTGACAAGTCCATATGGTTTGTAAGACACTGGCACCAGCGGCAGGGTGGCTGGCGCCCGGAACGGTCACAGCAGGACGTAGCCGCCCCGGCAGCGGGTCCCGGCCGTGCCGCCGCCTCCAGCAGGGTTCGGCGCATTCCCCGCATGTCCGCCTAGATTGGGACATGCGATTGCCTTCCTGATGATGGCTTGGTTACTTTATTTACATGTGGGAAGAGGAAAAACACAGTTATATCAGCAGTAGCCTAGTTTGTTGTATCTCTGGTCAAGTTGTCTCCTGCTCTCAGTGTCTTTGTTGTATTATCAAAATATTGTGTGTCGCATATAGGCTATTCAAATGTCATTAGAAAACGCTGCAACTGTAGCGATAACTAAGCCCAGCCTACATATTCGACGCTGCTCGAAACACTCCCATTTCATAAATATTTTGTTTGGGTCCGTCATGCATTGCATGACATGGTTTTTTGCCATTGCGATCCAGCAGCATAGTGATACGACGGTGGGCATTAAAAATCGAGGGCACTGTGGATGGGAGCAAAGCTATCAGGACATTGCAAGTCATGGGTACAGAACAATTAATGCATTAGTTAATCCGATTTTTAATGTTTAATAATAACTTTTAAACAATATGTTTTCAGTTGGTAATAATAATTTTGATTTGTAATAATATTTCTATTTTGATGATGCATATTTAACAATAAATTGTTATTAATAAATATGTAATCCGAGCCTTTGAGTGGATGGATCTCCGCGAGCAGAGCTGGCGCTAAGCAGAGCCTATGTGAACCCTGACCTGTGCCATCCGATCGTGCAATTCCAGGCAATGGCAGAATTTGGGGGGCCAAAGTTTAACGTGCTGTAATGCTCGGCACAGTTCATCCTGTCCTCTGATGTCACCAGGCCTTTAGCGCGGCCACTGACCTGACTGACCGCAGATCATACCTGTCAAGGACATCGTTATGGTCATAGAGCAAAGAAGCGGTAAATGCAATCGTCGCCCTTAAGTTGAGGCGGGCAGGTGTCGGTGTGAGCGGCGTACCGTCTTCCCAGGTACGATGGCAGGGTACCCAACGACGCCACGTACCCGACGGTACAGGTGCGCGACCCACGGCCGCCGCTCACGCGCATCTGGTCCCGCATGGAGGTGGTCGAGCTCTCCGTGCCCAAGTTCAAGGTAGGCGTGTGGTGTCGCCCGGTGGGTGGTGCCGCCGCCACGGCCTGCTGCCCTTTGGCGCTCCCAACGTCGGCGGCCCCGATATGTGCCTCATCGTAGGCACGTTGTCTCCAGCCACGCATCGTGTGACTTCTTCGGACTGTAGCCTCGCCTGGTGACGTGTCGTTATTGTGGCATTACGCAGTATCGCTGTGGTGGCGAAACTCGCGGCTAGTGGGCCGATGAGCGGCGCCGTTCCGAGCGCTGGCGGGACGGGCGGCGCTGGACGCGGGACGGGCGGCACTGGGCACGGGACGGGCGGTGCTGGACGCGGGGCGGGCGGCACTGGGTACGGGACGGGCGGTGCTGGACGCGGGACGGGCGGCACTGGGCACGGGACGGGCGGCGCTGGACGCGGGACAGACGGCACTGGGCACGGGACGGGCGGCGCTGGGCGCGGGACGGGCGGCGTTGGGCGCGGGACGGGCGGCACTGGGCGCGAGACGGGCGGCGCTGGGCGCGGGGCGTCCGCTGCACAGGCTTGCTCACGGCTCCACCGCCGGCAGATCGACGCCAACTACGTGGGTGCGCCACCACCGCTGGAGGTATCGGTCACCAACATCAACGACAACATCGATAAGACGTTCCTAGCGGAAATGGTAAGCGTACCGTACCTCCGACTCCTCGGGCACACCCCGCGGCGACGCGATGGAGGGCCGGATGTGGGCCCGATGGTGCATTCACGACTGGGTTTCCGCTGTTTTTGACATGCACAAGATGCCGTGCATTGAGGTGGACATGCACGCATGTTGGTACAAATGGGTTGCCGTTTACCCTCTGTATCTAAACCACGTCTCCAACGAGGTCCGTCTTATGACAACCTCCTTGGGCTATTGCTGATGTGGTCATACCGTATGTTCTAGGTGCATAAATGCGGCGAAATTGAAGAGCTGGCGATCTTCTATCATCCAAGGACCAACAAGCACCTAGGCATTGCGCAGCTCGTATTTCGCCACGTGCAGGGGGCGAGAGCTTGCGTGGAGAAATTCAATCACACGTCGGTCATGGGCAACGTGTTGAGTGTGTTCCTTGATCCGTTCGGTAAGTCAGCGTCCACAATGGGCCACAAGCGTGCCCAGGACTTACGGACGACTGCTGGCACAATTTTTTACGGATTTTGATCGCTGCCCTTAAAAGCGGTATCTTGTGACTGGGCACCAGCAAGCAGGAAATTGAAATCATTCGTAACAGTTTTTTATGCTTATTTCTTCGATTTTTTTTATTTGATCTCGCATAAACGTAACGCATGAACAGCAGCGGGCCAGTCACCCGGCTGGGGTTATTTGGTATTGTTTTGCCGCTGTCAGGGGCCAAGGTGCGCCAGATGTACACGGACCTGCTTGAGGACCGGCCGGTGCCTCGAGAGGAGCCGCCGCCTGCGCACGAGGATCCACTGGCCGTCTGGACGGAGCCGGAGCGCGCCGAGCCGGAACAGGAGCCGGCGGCGCCGCCGGAGCCGGAGCCGGTCGAGGCGCCGCGGCCGACGGCGCCCGCCGCCGACCGGCCGGCAACCACCTCCGCCGAGGAGGAGGACCCGGCGGAAGAGCCCGGCGAGCGCGTGGACCTGGACACGCGCATTGCGCTCCTGCTGCAGCGCAAGTCCAAGCACAGCTTGGCTCCGTCGTTCGCGCAGCTGCTGGACAGCGGCGGCGAGGCGGCGTCCAGCTCCGGCTCGGAGGTGGACTCGGACGTCTCGTCCGACGACGCGACGCCCGAACCGCTGAGCGTCACGCCGTCGCCGTTCGTGTCGCGCGAGCGCTATCTCCAGAGCCACCAGCTGGTCCGCGAGCGGCTGGCCGAGCTGCGCGCGCGCCGGCCGCAGCGGCAGCGCAGCTCACTCGAGGGGCTGCGCTCCTTCCAGGAGCTGCGCCGCCGGCTGGGCGTGCTGGACGTGGGCGACGGTGAGCGGCCGCGGCGGCGCAGGCGGCGGCGCCGGCCCGCGCGCCGAGCCGGCCTCGGAGCCGCCGCCGCCGCCGCCGCCGCTCAACGGCCGCCCCGAGCCGCCGCCGCCGCCGCCACTGCCGCCGCCGCCGCCGATGTACCCGCCGCCGGGCGCCGCCGCCGAGCCCGGCGTGCCGTACCCCTGCTGGCGGCCGCCAGACTGGCCGTACCCGTACCCGCCTCCGCCCGGGTACCAGGTGTACGGACCGCCGGCGCCGGCGTCCGCGCCAGAGCCCGGCTACGACGACGTGCTGCCGGCAGAGGCAGAACAGCTCACACCCGACCGGGTGGCCCAGTGAGTACAGTCAGAGCTCGGCGGTCCTTACGGCGGGCTGACTGTGCAGCTGGTGGTCATTGTATTTGGGCGTGACCTCTGGTTTGGCTCTGTTAGGGGTGCGTTGCGCTGTATTGTTGAGAGCACTGAATCTGTGCTATGCTACATTGATGACGCTTGCGTGAGTATGAATGTGTCGTGTATGTCACGGCTTCTTACGATCCACAGGCATTCCTTAGACCAAGTAGTGAAAGAGTTGAAACAGATACTTAAGAAAGACTTTAATAAGAGGATGATTGAGAACACTGCGTACAAGCAATTCGAGAAATGGTGGGACGACCAAGCCGAACAGCACAAGGTATGTATCGAACTGTTGGTGAATGAGTTTTTTATTATGGAGATCGGTTTCATTTAAATTGCAAACTAGTTTCACGTAAATTTACAACTGGGCATGTTTGTAAAGTTCACAAGTGATGAGTATCTGTGGAGCGCTCAACAGACGAAGTGATGTGTCAACACGACTGCTGATTCGTCATTGGGGTCCACTTTATGTACCTACATGTAGGTACCTTCCAATGCCTTAGCTCATGCACTGCCCACATGTTGAAAAAGCCGTTAAAAGCGTGGCGCTTGTCCGAAGCTGCCCAACTGGCTAGGAGTGCTGAGGACCCGGCGCCGGGCGCAGCACGCCTCTGACCGGTGCCGTGTGGTGCGGCAGGCGCGGGGCGAAGAGAACCGGACGCAGGGCGGCTCGGCCCTGCCTGTCAAGCGCTCCGACCTCAGCTCGCTGCTGGAGAACAATCGCGGCTCGCTCTCCGGCGCCGGCTACGGCCTCGGCTTCCGCATGTCACTGCCTAAGATGCCCTCCTTCAGGGTGAGTCGACTTCTGGCATTGCTCTGGCAGTGCGGACTCACACAGGCACGGGCTCACTGCGCCATCCGCCGCTCGTTCCAGGGGCACGTCGGGACTGTCTAATGGCGTTTACTCCGTTTTAAATCCATTCGTGGGCGTTTCCCTCGAAGAGCTCCATCGCCTTGTGAAAGAAAGGATGAGGTGAAACTTTCAAGATAGGCCGTGCACGATGAGGATGAGCCATTCGCGGCAGGAGCGCTGTCGCTCCTTGTTATGTTGACGCTCGAGTCCAGGGCCGGCGACGTCTTCTGCTGTTGGAAGAGGCAAGCCACTCTCGCCAGGAATGCCCGCAATGTGACGCGCTTAACCGCTAACGCGCCGCCGTGGCACCGGCAGAGGAAGCCGACGCGTCCGTCGCCGCCGCCCGAGGACGAGCCGAGTCAGGCGGCGCCCGACTCGGACTCGGACGCCGAGTCGGAGCCGGAGTCGGAGCGGGCCGAGCCGGCACCGCCGCCGCCGGCTGCGTTGGCCAAGGAGCAGCGGGCCCGCGCCGACCGACCCAGCTCATCCAGCGAGGCGGAGGAGGACGAGGAGCAGCCGGCAAAGGACAGCGATGCCGCGAGCGAGGCGGCGTCGGCCAAGAGCAGCAGCAGTAGCAGCAGCAGCAGCTCGAGCAGTGACAGCAGCAGCAGCAGCAGCAGTGACAGCAGTAGTAGCAGCAGTGAGGATAGCGACGCCGAAGTGGATAGCTCCAAGACGAAGGTTGAAAAGGGCGATGTTGGGCGGAAGATTGACAAAGACCCGGACTCTTTGTCGAAGACCGGAACAGCAAAGGCTAAGAGGCGCCTTTCATCTGCCCAGCTCACTTCGGAAAAAGTTCAAAGGAAGCGGTAAGTTGTCTTGTTTTGCGTTGGCTTCTTGTTAGTTCAGAGTTGCTATAACGTTATTGGCAAATTCAGTCAGTTATTCCCAGTGGAACAAATAGCTTTAATCCTGGCTTCACTCACAATACGTTACGTATGCATCCTCTCAGTTAGTCTCACATAGTGTAGCATCCTAAGCTGTTGTTGGATCTGCCTACCTTTAATTCCTTTGATATCATAACACAAGAATATTTGCGTTAACTCCATGATTGCTGACGTGAAGACATGATTGCTGTATGCCACCATATCAACAAATGCCCGATCGGGTGCATGTCTTTGTGTTCCCTGGCATCGTTTGATTCTCCCCAGCGACGCCCTGCTGTGGACCACTGTCGGTGGCTTCGGTCACGCGCGACCACAGCAAGCCTTTCTGACCCGTGTGTGCTGCGTGCCCCGGCAGTGAGTCTGAGTCGCCGCCGCTACCGGCCACTCCGGGCCGCTCGCCGTCCGATGGCTCGCCGGGCGGCCGGCTGCAGCAGGAGCACTCGTACTGCCGGCCGGCGGCGCCGGGCCGCTCCGGCTCGCCCTCGCCCGAGAACACCCGCTCGGCGTTGCTGCACGACCGCGGCGACACGCGCCCGCCGGCGGCCCCCGCCCCCGCCCCGCGGGGCAAGCGGCGTGCTGAGCCGGCCGAGCCGGCGGCGCCGCGCGGCTTCGGCAAGCGTGACGTGATGTCCGAGATGGCGCTGCTGTACGAGTTCCTGACGCGCGGCCTGTCGCTCGAGGACATCGACTACCTGCACCGGTGCTATGAGGGCCTGCTGGGCGACGACCAGAACAGCTACTGGCTGAACGACACGCACTGGGTGGACCACGCGGCCACCGACCGGCCGGAGAAGCGGCGGCGGCTCAACGAACCGGCCGTGCACCGCTCTGGCTGCGCGCGCACCGAGGGCTATTACAAAGTCACGCAGAAGGACAAGATGAACCACAAGGTAGGCGGGGAGTGCACCGGTCGCGGAGCTATCGTTACTGGAAATAAGGGAAACAGTCGTGGGGTTTGTATTTTGCGCGGGGTCGTTGAGTTCTTGGCAATATTGGTGCTATCAGTAAGCCAGTTTCTAAGCTCGCCAGCGGCGCCCGCAGTGAGCGCATGCCCTGCGTTCTCCGACGCCGGTGACCGCTGGCCGCGACCATCATTGAGTGACGCGGGAGCGCCGCCCGTGCCGTGACCCGGTGGCCGCCGTGCCGTGACCCGGTGCCGTGACCCGGTGGCCGCCGTGCCGTGACCCGATGCCGTGGCCCGGTGCCGTGACCCAGTGCCGTGACCCGGTGGCTGCCCGTGCCGTGACCCGGTGGCTGCCCGTGTAGTGACCCGGTGGCTGCCCGTGCCGTGACCCGGTGGCCGCCATGCCGTGACCCGGTGCCGTGACCCGGTGGCCGCCGTGCCGTGACCCGGTGGCTGCCCGTGCCGTGACCCGGTGGCTGTCCGTGTAGTGACCCGGTGGCTACCCATGACGTGACCCGGTGGCCGCCGTGTCGTGACTCGGTGGATGCCCGTGCCGTGACCCGGTGGCCGCCCGTGCCGTGACCCGGTGGCTGCCCGTGTAGTGACCCGGTGGCTGCCCGTGTAGTGACCCGGTGGCTGCCCATGACGTGACCCGGTGGCTGCCGTGTCGTGACTCAGTGGATGCCCGTGCCGTGACCCGGTGGCTGCCCGTGCCGTGACCCGGTGGCTGCCCGTGTAGTGACCCGGTGGCTGCCCGTGTAGTGACCCGGTGGCTGCCCGTGCCGTGACCCGGTGGCTGCCCGTGCCGTGACCCGGCAGCTGCCCGTGTAGTGACCCGGTGGCCGCCGTGTCGTGACCTGGTGGCCGCCCGTGCCTGCAGTACCACTTCGGCCGGACGGTGGCGGAGACGGCGGTGGCGGCGCTCGCCGACGGCCGTGATCAGGGCTCGACGGTGCCCGACCAGCGCTCCAAGGCCGTCACGGCCGCCGCCATCTCCCGGGAGGCTCGCAACAACCAGCGACGCATCCTCACCGTGCTCGGCGGCGAGACCGAGAGTGAGCTGCTCAAGCTCAACCAGCTCAAGGTCAGTCAGAAGCTGGTCTGCTGGTAGGCAACAGACGGGGGGGGGGGGGAGGGGGCAAGCAGAAACCTGGAGCCATTCCTGATAGGGAGGTTTTGAGTGGCGCCATCTGTCGTATAGTGGTCCGTTACGAGCTGTTGGGACGCTGCCAGGAGGGCGTTGTGCTGCGTTTGATGCGTCTGCAGCGTGTGGCTCCCCGGCGCTCCATCTCCCGTCGTCGACACGACCGCGATGTGCTGCGTGCCCGCAGTTCCGCAAGAAGCAGCTCAAGTTTGGCAAGTCGGCCATCCACGACTGGGGCCTGTTCGCGCTGGAGCCGATCGCCGCCGACGAGATGGTGATCGAGTACGTGGGCCAGCACGTGCGCCAGTCAGTCGCCGACCAGCGTGAGCTGGTGTACGAGCGCCAGGGTATTGGCAGCAGCTACCTCTTCAGGATCGACCGCGACAACATCATCGACGCCACCAAGTGTGGCAACCTGGCCCGCTTCATCAACCACAGCTGCACGGTGAGAGCGGCGAGATTACTTTGACGTGTTGTGATCCTTGGAAACCATTTCAGTGGCGCTCCTTCGATGCTCAGGGACTGTATCCTTTATCAGTTTTGTTTCGTGTCCCCGCCAGATGGAGGAAGATGTGGCTAGAACGCCCATGTAGGAAGTTACGTAATCGAACCATGTTGGAAGGATTTGCAACTTGGCATTTGACGTTTGATTGACTGTTCAGCTTTGCAAAACCCATCCTCGGGTTCGTTATCTGCATCGCAAGGATTCCGTGACGCGGCCGACCTTGTCGTGGGATGACATAACAGCGTTTAGTACTAGCTCTCCAGTTTAAGAGCTTTTGTTCGTGTTCAGCCCACCTCCTCCAGTTGCTCGTACGCCCCCGAATGTGGGTCGCTCACGCCGAATATGGCCCACGACTGATGAATGTCGTATTCAGAAGACGAACATGGCCTGCATGCGTGGAGGTACCGTGTGCTGTATGTGTGTGTGCTGCACACAACCGCTGAGTGCATACAGGATGAAGCCTCCTCCATGAATCTTCTCGATGATGAGTCTTCTGATGATAAGATGGATGAATCATACATTCTCATGCATTCTGTGTCTGCTGGATGCAGTTTGCCTCCATATGATATATGCATATATATATATATATATATATATATATATATATATATATATATATATATATATATATATCGTCCGTATATATGTCGTCCGTTGGCCGGGTCCAGGCCGCCTAACTCGCTGCCGCAACCCCGCAGCCCAACTGCTATGCCAAGATCGTCTCGGTCGAGGGCCAGAAGAAGATCGTGATCTACTCGAAACAGCCCATTGGCGTCAACGAGGAGATCACGTACGACTACAAGTTCCCGTATGAGGAGGTCAAGATCCCGTGCCTGTGCGGCACGCCCCAGTGTCGTGGCTATCTGAACTGAGCGGGCGCCGGAGGCGGCCGATGCCAGCGCAGCGGTCGGCGGCGGCGCCCCCGACGCGTTCTCCGGTCTCCGGGGCGGCGCCGGACGCCGGCCAGTGGACCGCGCCCGGTCGGCGGCGGCGTGCCGGACGCCGGCCAGTGGACCGCGCCCGGTCGACGGCGGCGCGTCGGACGCCGGCCAGTGGACCGCGCCCGGTCAGCGGCGTATCAGGTTGTGTTGGGGTGTGGTGTGTCGCCTGCCGTGGTCCGTGGCGGGTCCAGGGAGAGGGCGTGGCTGGCGGCGGCCACAGCGGCGGTGTCCCTGGCCGTGCGGGGACCGCCGCTGGGGGCTAGACCCGAGGTCGCTCGGCGGCCTGCGGTCCGGCGTCGCCGAGCCAGGGCCCATCCATAGTCTTTCAGTGCGTGTTTTAATTCGTGCAATCTCATCGGAGTGAACGCCGGCGGAACGAAGCTGCATCACGTGTACGAAACAAGGCGTGGTCGCCGGGCATTTGACCCTCCGTCGCATCAGGCCTGTGTAAGAGACTTACTTGTTTGTCAGGTGGTAAAATCGTGAGCGTATTTACCGTGAACGTTGAAATGTATTTACGTACGCTTGGGCTATTGCTTGTTGCACGATAAATCATTGGATTTTGTGATTCCGTGTTGAATTCACCGCCATGTGTGTGGTATTGTTAATACGAACAGTGAGTATACTATATCTTCTTTGCTGGGAATGGCAGACAGTTATCGGCACAAGAAACCCGATTTACATGTACGAGCCGGTGATCATCTGGGTCGCGTGATCTGTTGGAATGGCTTAGATCGGATGATGTAAAGAAGAAGCTTCGTGAGTGGCCCGATCAATGAGGGTTGGTCTCCACCACAAGTATATTTCTCAAACATCCGTCAGCTTGCCACGAACTCAGTGTTATAGGTCTGACAGGATGTCAGGAGTAGTGCTAGCGGCTCGGTCAGACGTGTGCGTGGTCAGAGGTGTGCGGGCCCTTCTCGCTGGCTATCATGTCGACCACCCAGTCCACGTAGCTGGAGACGCGCGTGTACACACCGGGGAAGTCTGGATCTCCGCAGCCGACGCCGAACGACACGAGTCCGCTGAGCTCGTACCAGCCGTCGGATCTCAACACGGTGAGAGGCCCGCCCGAGTCGCCGAGGCAGGCGTCGGCGCCGGCCTGCTCCGGGTCCGCCGCGCACAGCTTGGTGCCGTTGAAGCCGCCGTCCGGGAACGAGTCGTCGAAGCTCGGCAGCTGGCGGTAGGTGGCCTCGCACTGGGCCGAGGGCACCAGCGACAGCGGCGCCTCCCGCAGCACGGGCGTGTCGGCGCCCGCGAACGAAAGCCGACCCCAGCCGGCTACCAGCAGATAGTCGCCGTTGCCGTCGGTCGTTTTGTCCGCCTCCGGCAAGCAGATGGGCTGCATAAGCCTGCTGAAGGTGACCGTGCCGTCCAGCCGCAGCAGCGCCAGATCGTTCTGTCGTCTGCGCGAGTTCGGATGCGCGATGCTGCGCAGCACGGCAAAGTCCTGGTGATGCCCGTCGGTCGTCGACGAAAGGTTGTACTCGCCCAGCCGCAGCACCAGCTCCCCTGCTGTGTGCGAACGCACGCAGTGCGCTGCCGTCAGGGCGTGCCAGCGTGTGATGAGCACGGCTCCGCACAGCCAGCGCGGCCCGTCGCTGCTGCTCGCGGCCGGCCGGTGTAGCCCGAGCAGCGCCATCCACGGCCAGCGCGTGCGGTCCGCCACCCGGCCGCCGCTAACGTTGCGTCGGAAGCGGCCGCCGGCGGAGCTGCCGTCGCTCGGGAGGCCGCAATCGGCGGGCAGAACGTGACGCCGGTCGTTCGGGGCCAGCGTGCCGCCGTGGTCGTGGGATTGCCGTGGAGCAGCTCTGACGTGAGACTGGGCACGGGCCGGCTCCGGCGCTCGATTGTTAAAGGGGGCGTCGTGGCTAGCGCCGAATCCGTGCCGATCACCGAAGATCGCTCCCTGGCAGCAGAGTGCCATAAGCTGGCAGTTTGACGGCGTCCTCCGCCAGCGGTGCGACCTCCGCCATCCCTGCGACCAGCGCGATGGCCTGATATGCCGCGGCAACGCGCATGGGAAACTGACGGTAGCAGGCGTTGGCGAGTTCTCCGGCGCCGGCGCAGGGGTGGCGGTGCGGGAGGTGTGCGGTCGTCACCGCTACCAGCAAGCACAGCAGCACCGACACCCACATGTTCGCACGGCGCTCCAACCCTCGACGCGGAGCGGGTCCGATCGCTGCTGGCGCCGGACTGTCACAAACGTGTGACGAGCTGAGCTGGCCTGAGCTGATGACGTCGACAAATGCCAGGACTGCTGCAGCAGGGCGGCGTGGGCCCTCAACACGTAACGCGCAGCGCTGCAGACACGCACCCGACCTGCACGTCCTGTCCAGTGTGAACACAGGAAAGAACTGATGAGGACTGGACCTGCTTCTTCTGTGGTGGCTTAGGTTGCACTGAGCTGACAGCCTGTGTTGCTCAGTCGTGCTTGGTCCGGTTTTAGATTGGAAAGTACTACAACTATAGAATTCCGAGAATCCATGCACCAGCAAACAGAGGATTAACGTGCTGAGGAAAATATCCAGTCGTGCAAATGCTCTTTATTCTTTCCATACAAATGAACGGTGAAATGCCAACACCCATGACGCGGTTTGAAAAACCTCGCTGGTCTCAAGGAAAGCTGCGGACAACAAAGCGGGCGGACGGCTGGCTGCGACATTTGACGAGGCCCCGTTGGTGTGCGCGCGCACGCAATCATTAGCACCCTGTCCTGCGCTACCCGTCGCCATTTGCTACGCCACTAGCCAGAAAGCCTCAGCTGCTCGCCGCAAACATGGGTGGTGTCCGTCTCGGACGCTGCATCTACAGCCACCGCGGTTTCGGGACGGCCGTGGGCGAATCCAGGCGCAAAATAGGATTTTCCGAATGTTCTTTCGGTGGGTCTTTCCGAGAATCACGTCATTGGCGGTGTCACAACACAGGGCTGTTCGGAACCTGTGGCCACCCGCACCCAGCTCCGGATGAATGCAGGGAAACTCGGACGCCTTTTTCTGCGTAGAGGGATCGCCTCTTGCTTTCGAAGGATGCGCGCGCCCTACGTTCTTGAAATTCTTCGAAACGGTGAAGTCACCCTCACGCATTGTATCGGCAGACAACACCGAGAGTGACGTATAGTCGTGGTCATTGTATCCGATTCGTTTGAACGCGGTGGCGCCAGAGCAGATGAGGGCGATAAGTTAACTTTTTTGACGGCGCACTCCCGTAGTGATTCATTTTCCTGCAATGCAACGGGTCTAGTCACGCTTGGCTGCTGACAGTGTCGTCTTCGTTTTCTATCTGCCAGGCGACCTATCCAACGAGACGTGATTTGCTTAGCATTGACCGCGAGGCCAGATACACCTGGAAATGAAGCGATGCGCCGGAAGGGACCGACAAAGAATTGGCCAGTGGGCTGGATTTAGCACAAGCATACGGAAGTAACTCATCACCCGTTGCCATCATTCAACTAGCAACTCGCACCCACGTCTGAGCAATAGCGTCGTTCGAACTTGCCCGCGCCGGTGCCCGTGCACGCACCGCCCTAGGCGCTGGCTGGCACTGCGTTAATTGCGCGGCAGGGTGATCACTTCCAAGTTGCTGCCATCTCTTGGAAGCGACTAGGAGCCGGTCGAGGAAAGCCCGTCGAAGTCAGAATTGAACAAAATGTACTCGACCTAAACTGGCGCTTACACTGTGGTGGTTTAGGGATTTTAGCAGCCAGTCAAATACCGCAATGCGGCCCTCGGTTCAACGCGAAATTAAATTGACATTTTACTTTTTTGTTGCTTGCAGCCCTCCGATGATGTTACTTACCGACGTGAACATAAATATGTCAAAATACGTATCATGCATAGGAGTTTTTGCCTCGCCGAAGGACGCGGGTGCAAATTCACCAGCTGCAGTGCTTTGATCCCCGCTACTGTCACCATGATAGATTGCGATGTCATCCGCACCGCTATTCCACCATGCAGGACAGCACTTTATCCATCTCGCAGGCAGGATTATGTAGAAATTTATCGTCGGGAACACATCCACCATCCGGGCGGACCGCGCACCCATCACTTGGCGTGCGGCTCTTCGATGGACGTGACGGAGATGCGGCCGGCGCCGGCACTGGCAGCGTGGAGCGCGCTGCGGGACCAAAGCGAGATCATCTGACTTTCCATGGGGCGGGCGCTGCCTTCCGCCTACAGCAGCCGTATAGAGTCGCCCGGCGAGCAGGTGTCTGTGACGTCAATGTATGTGCATTTCTGGCCCCAGCGACCTTGTGTGTTGCGAGGTAAGCCACTGTCCCTGGCAGCAGTGCATGTGCATGCCCGATCCCGTGCGCGCGCACGATGCAGAGCTCCGCACCAAGGCCGTGGCGAAGGACGATCATTTCTTATAAAAGTGTATTCAAGTCAGCTTCGTGACAGCACTCACAGCCATGATAAAACTAGCGTCGCCCAACGATGTCATGTCCACGAGCGGTCCACGACCCTGACTAGACGGTGATGAGACGGTATGACAGCGGGTCGGCTGGCGACTCCCCCGAGACACGGCCGACGCCCCGTACAGGCCGAACGGACGCGGAGGTGCCGACCGTTCTCGCACAAGCCCTGACAAACTACACGCGACGGCGGCAAGACGCAACACACTATCAACGCTAGGATAACAATCTGTGGCGTGACGCAACGCCCGGTGTCGCGTTCGCTCACAACTGAAGCTTCTTCTTCCTCAGATCGACCACGGCGATACGCGGGTAGAGCTTGACGATCTGTGCCAGCGTCGGCACGTTCACGCGCATGGCGCTGGCGCCGCCCAGCGTCAGCTGCGTCGTCACCTCCGAGTAGCTGTCGATCGGCGGCGGCCGGCGGCCGTAGAACGAGAACGGCGCCGGCAGGTCGCGGCGCGCGCCGCCCGTTGATTTAAACGCCACGCCGCGGCCGGCGCGCGACCAGCCGGCGCGCGCTGCGCGCAGTCGACTTGCGCGCCACGCCGCCGGCGGCCGGCGGCCGCCGCTTGCGGGCCGGACTGGCGCCGTCCGCCGACCGCTTGGTGCCGCGGCTGCCTGTGGTCGCGTCGGAGGGCGCCGGCGACCCGACGCGCGGCCCGTCCCTGCCACGCACCACGCGCTTCATCTTCTGATACTCCTGGTCGAGGGTGCTCGAGCAGCGTCACCTGCTCGGGCTCGCCGGCGTGCTTGCGCGCGTGATGGCGCACCACCAGCCTGCGTGAACCGTCAGCGAAGTCGCACCGCTGGCACTTGTAGCGTTTGTAGTGTACCAGCATGTGAGCGTCCACGTACGTCAGGCGGCTCGTCGTGTGCGGACACAGCGGACACTTGAAGGACGACGGCAGCGGCGACTCGCCGGCGGCGGCGGCGGCGGCCGGCTTGTCCCCCTGTCGCGGCCGGCTCGGCGCTGGCCGCCGGTTCCGTGGTCTCCGCCTGCGCCGCGCCCACCGCCTGCGGCAGACCGCGCGCCGCGTACGTGTCTAGCTTCAGCTCCAGGTGCGAATGGAACACCTGGTGGTGGCTGGTGGCCTTGTCGCGCGTCAGGAAGCGCTCGCGGCACCAGCCGCACTTGAAGCGCGTCTCGCGGTCGTGCGTGCGCGTCTGGAAGTCGGTGGCCGGCTGGTCCGGGTGTCGCGACGCCATGTGCGCCCGGATGCCGGGCATCTTTGCCGACTGGAAGTCACAGTGATTGCAGACGTAGCGGCGCGCCTGGCGTATCACCTTGAAGCGCAGGTGGCTGTGCAGCGTCTTCCAGTGCCCACGCAGCACGGGGATGGTGCCCCGCTCCGAGCAGTACGAGCACTTGTACACCGGCTGCGTCTTGGACGTGTCGGCCGGGCTGGCGGACACCGACCCCGGCTCCGGCTTGGGCTCCAGCTTGGACTCCGCCTTGGACTCCGGCTCCGACTTGGCCTCCAGCTTGGGCTCTGCTGTCGGCTGGTCGCTCGGAGCAGTGCCTTCGATCTGATGCTCCTGGTGGTCCAACACCGACTGAATCTGAAACCCAGACCGGACCGTCACCGTCGCACGCCTTGCACGCGCTTTCTGGTCCCTCGTAGTATCAGACGTGGTGTGGATCTAGTCAGCCTGCCGCTCAGCCCGGCTTGGCACTCCAGCCGGCTTCCATCAGTTTCTGCCATTTCATGTTTTCCTTTATACAAGTTAAACTTTGCATACACGTGCAGAAACACAGTCATTATTCTCCTCAATTTTCGCAATCATGCTTTAGTCAGAGCATTTCCTGTCCAGACCGTACAGCAGCAACAGCGCGCTGATACTACAGCATGATCAAAATATGTCGTCTATTTGTCATGACAAGAACAGGAGCTGGCTCCCGAGGCGCAGCCCTGTGCCCACTGGCCGTGGCCTGTGATCCACGACACATCCTTTTACAATCAGTTGCAACGCCATACTAATCAGATGTACGTGTGCATTATCCAGCAGGTAGTAATGACGTAAAATGTTATGCAAATAAACTTGACATATAATGAGCAAGACCAGATATGTTTCCAAGCATTGGGTCGTCGTCTCAAGTTTGCTACGTACAGTAAGTTGGCGATTCAGAGACTCGGCGTCTCGGTACTGCTGTCTGCTAAGGGTCAAATTTATGGCATCTTTTCTTTAACAATCATGTGTTTCCATTGTATGTTTTAGTCAAGTGAGAAAACTGTATTCGCATTATTACTGCAAAACAGGAATGCAATGTCACATGACTACCTGGCAAGCGCAGGACATATAGTCCGAGTAAGTACCGTTTGTCGTCACATGCACCGACTTTCTCGGAGACTGGACTTAGCCAGGGTGTTCGTGAGGAACATCTATCGTTATGTAAGCCTGTCATGGTGCAGCAACTCATAGGTTAGCAGCGTCTACATTGGTTCATCCCTATCACACTGCTTGATGTATTGCTCCGTCCCGACGCGCTTGTTCTATCGATTTGCCGCACCTTCTGTTTGGTGTGCAATTACCGTGTGGTAATTTTCACTATGCTTTCCATCACACATCTGTCTCTGTAGAACACATACGAATCACATCATGTCGTGATGACCGGTATGATGGATATAACATGAGCCATGTTGTATGAGTTTCTTCAACTGACGCTCTCTGTAACAGGCTGAGACCGGCAAAAACCTGTTGACAACTGTTTCTGCCTGTTGCTGCCAACCTTGCACCCAACCGGCATGAAAGCCTTAAACACTCATGCCTACGGCAAGTGCAATTATGTTCCTAAGCGCGCAGTCAGTAGTAATCCTCTCAACTTCAACAAACCGATCGTGTGGTTTGTGGACACGGGTGAGCTGCACTCCGCTCACTCACACACTCACCCCAGTGCCCTGTAAACGACGCACCAAAGCAGCAAACTCGCACTCGCAGCACTGAGAGATCAGGCCCTAACAGTATCGACAAATCAGCCGACCGCACTCAATGTTCCGCCTCTTGATGGGCAGAACACGCCGTGATCCGAGACGCATCCGCGCCGGGAGTGGCTGCAGCGGGCAGGATCGAGACTCACCCACTGCTCTATGGCCGAGTCGGGCGTCAGTGGCACGATCGCCTCGGGCAGGCGCGCCGTCTTGTGCGCCATCTCATGGTGCCGCTTCATGTTGGGCAGGTTCGTGTTCATGTGGCCGCAGTTTCCGCACACGAAGCTGGTGGTCAAAGTCGGACAGTAAGATCATGACACGTTTGTCTGGCAAAACCTGACGACGTTAACTGCGACCAAGGCATGTGCCACGAGAAATTACGTCGATTCACGTAGTAACTGGCAGTTTAAAGCAAGGCACCGACAAGAACACGTTCCGACTAACTTTGGGAAAGCAAAACTGGACGCAGAGAAAATATTTTCAGGGCATGGGCACGAAAGAGTACCAAGCAAAACAACCATACCTGAAAGCTTTCAGGGGGTAAATCGAATGGTTTAGCAAAGAGAATTATGCCAGTGCGACGCAAGAGCCACCAGACAAAGAACCAACAGTGACTCTACTCATCGCACATGTAGCCTCCAACCGATGCGATGACCACTCACCGATTATACCCTAGCTCCTTGTGGAGGTGCCTGGCGAAGTCCATCTTCCGCTTCGTCTTGTACTTGGTGCACTTCGGACACACGAACTGCTTTCCCTCGGCATCGCCCGTGGGTCCGAGCTCGCACGACTTGGTCTCGTACAGCGAGAGGAACTCGTCCTCGGTGGCGGCGTGCGGCGCCCCCTCGGCCTTCACGCAACCGGCGGCCGGCGACTCCTTCGACTCCTTCACCTTCTCAGTCTCCTTTCCCTCCTTCGTCTCCTCAGTCTCCTCCCTCTCCTCTTCCTGTTCGTCCTCTCCGGACCGCCGCGCCTCGCCGGCCGGCGTCGGCCTCCGGCTTGACCTGGCGCGCGGCCGGCCCGCGCCCGGAGCCGGCGCGGCTGACGCAGCGCGCGCTTCAGTTGCGCGCCGGCGCGCCTGGCCGGCCGGCGCCGTCCGCGCGGCCGGCTCGGCCGCCTTCAGCCGCTTCAGGGGGCGCGCGCTCTCCGCCTCCGCCGTCGGGCGAGGCGCGCCGCGCGCCTGCCGGGCGCTTCTTCACCGGCGAGCCGGCGCCGCGCGGCACCTTCACTTCCTCGATGAGGATGCCACGCACATGACGGATGCGGCGCGGGTTGTGGCGCGTCCAGATCGGCTGGCAGTGCTCCACCTTGACGGCTGCCTCGGCGTCCACCTCGTCCAGCCGGTAGTAGATGGCGAACACGTTCACCGCCTCGCTCGGGTGCTTGGCAGCGAAGTGCAGGTCCAAGGCGGAGCGCACCGAGCTTGCGTACGCTGCACAGGCCGCACTTGAACTGGCTGCGCAGGTCGTGCACGCTGGCTGCGTGCTCCACCCCTCCGGCTGCGAGAGCGCCTGGTATTTGCAGAGCCCGCCAGCGCCACGGCTTGAAGAGCGGCCGCGACGCCTCGTCGTCGTCCGGCTCGCGCACCACCCACGTCCACTAGCGGCAGCATGGGGTGCTTGTCGCGCACGTGACGTGTCACCAGGCTACGCTGGGTAGTGGTTGTAGATGCAGTACTTGCACTTGTAGAGGCGCGGCCCGTGCAGGCGCAGATGCGCGCTTCAGCTTGTCCGGGATCATGTACAGGTCTTTTGCAGTGCGGACACGGGTACGTGATCATCTGCCCGTGCAGCGCCTGGATGTGGTACTTGAGCATGGTGTCGTTCAGCGTCAGGTACACGCAGTCGGGCAGGCTGCAGATGTAGCGCTTGTCCTCGGACACCTCCTTGGGCAGCCGCTCCAGGTCGGCCGCCGACAGCTCCGGCTGCTTGCGCGGCACGCCCACCTCTCCCGAGCTGCTGGCCAGGTTTGCCATCTGGTCGAACATCTTGTCGCCCCGGTAGTCGCAGGGCCGCGGGTTGGTCGGGCACGCCACCGGTAGCTCGGCGCGCTCGCCGGTGCGTCGGTGCCGCAGCAGGTGCTTCAGCAGGTTGCGCGTCACCTTGCTGCTGTACGGGCAGTGCTTGCAGCGCAGCGGCCGGAACAGCACGGGCCGGTGCGGCAGCTGGTCCAGGTCGGACACGCCGAAGCCGTAGTT